CAGGAAAGATGAAACTCATGTGGAATCATCCTCAGGTAGTGTAGATTTCAGTTTGTTCAAATCATGTCCCCCGGGGGTAGGGTGGGGCCAAATGGCCGATCAAAGTTCTACATAGGAATATATAGGAAAAATCTTTAAAAATCTTCTTCTCAAGAACCACTGGGCCAGGAAAGATGAAACTCATGTGGAATCATCCTCAGGTATTGTAGATTCAAATTTGTTTAAATCATGACCCCCGGGGGTAGGGTGGGGCCAAAACGGCCGAACCACCGGGGGTAGGGTGGGGACAAAACGGCCGATCAAACTTTTAAATAGGAATATATAGGAAAAATCTTTAAAAATCTTCTTCTCAAGAACCACTGGGCCAGGAAAGATGAAACTCTTGTGGAATCATCCTCAGGTAGTGTAGATTCAAGTTTGTTCAAATCATGACCCCCTGGGGTAGGGTGGGGCCAAATGGTCGATCAAAGTTTTACATAGGAATATGTAGGAAAAATCTTTAAAAATCTTCTCAAGAACCACTGGGCCAGGAAAGATGAAACTCATGTGGAATCATCCTCAGGTAGTGTAGATTCAAGTTTGTTCAAATCATGACCCCTGGGGGTAGGGTGGGGCCAAAACGGCCGATCAAACTTTTACATAGGAATATATAGGAAAAATCTTTAAAACTCTTCTCAAGAACCACTGGGCCAGGAAAGATGAAACTCTTGTGGAATCATCCTCAGGTAGTGTAGATTCAAATTTGTTAAAATCATGACCCCCCGGGGTAGGGTGGGGCCAAATGGTCGATCAAAGTTTTACATAGGAATATATGGAAAAATCTTTTAAAATCTTCTTCTCAAGAACCACTGGACCAGGAAAGATGAAACTCCTGTGGAATCATCCTCAAGTAGTGTAGATTCAAGTTTGTTCAAATCATGACCCCTGGGGGTAGGGTGGGGCCAAAACGGCCGATCAAATTTTTACATAAGAATATGTAGGAAAAATCTTAAAAAATCTTCTTCTCGAGAACCACTGGGCTAGGAAAGATGAAACTCATGTGGAATCATCCTCAAGTAGTGTAGATTCAAATTTGTTCAAATCATGACCCCTGGAGGTAGGGTGGGGCCAAAATGGCCGATCAAAGTTTTACATAGGAATATGTAGGAAAAATCTTTAAAAATCTTCTCGAGAACCACTGGGCTAGGAAAGATGAAACTCATGTGGAATCATCCTCAGGTAGTGTAGATTTAAGTTTGTTCAAATCATGAACCCCGGGGGAAGGGTGGGGCCAAATGGCCGATAAAAGTTTTACATAGGAATATATAAGAAAAATCTTTAAAAAATCTTCTTCTCAAGAACCACTGGGCCAGGAAAGATGAAACTCTTTTGGAATCATCCTCAGGTAGTGTAGATTCAAATTTGTTCAAATCATTACCCCCGGGGGAAGGGTGGGGCCAAAACGGCCGATCAAAGTTTTACATAGGAATATGTAGGAAAAATCTTTAAAAATCTTCTTCTCGAAAACCACCGGGCCGGGAAAGATGAAACTCATGTGGAATCATCCTCAGGTAGTGTAGATTTAAGTTTGTTCAAATCATGAACCCCGGGGGAAGGGTGGGGTCAAATGGCTGATAAAAGTTTTACATAGGAATATATATGGAATCCTTTTAAAATCTTTTTTTCAAGTACTTCAAAGCCATGCTTATAGTGATATCTATATGGAATCATCCTCAGGTAGTGTAGATTCTAGTTTGTTCAAATCATGACCCCCTGGGGGGTTAAAATTCAAGCCCCCCATCAGTAATCTTTCAGTTCTGATCTGATATGTGCTTTTTCCTAGCCAATTACTCAGGTTAGCGATGTGGCCCCTGTGCCTCTTGTTTTTCAAAGGTACAACGACTCAATCAATGTTGTTCTTTCAAAGTAAAACGTATACTTAAAAATTCCACGACACCTGGCATTATCATATTTCTTTTTCATGCGCCTGGATCGATAGATTCGGGGCGTACAGTAGGCCTATATTGTTTTTGTCCTGTCTGTTTGTCTGTCTGTTTGTCTTCAACTTTAACTTTTGAACCGTGAGAGATAGAGACTTCATATTTAGTAGGCATACTCCACTAATTAAGCTCTTTCAAATGACACCAAGGTCAATGACCGGGTGACCTTTATCGTGACCTATATGCTAGAAATAGCTTTCTCGAACTTTGTTGCCGCCGGACGCATAGTGTTTCACAAACACATCTTGTTGAGTATACGTTTTTTTTGATTTGGACATTGTTAGTTTCGCTCGTACCATCCTTCGCTGAAGGAAAATGGATTGAAAGAGCAATGGTGCTGGGAATCAAGGGAACAGTGGAGCTTGGCGCAAAAGCTGAGGCTATTAGTTAATCTGTTTGCTGGAAAAGCGGGAGGGTATATAGTAATCGCTATGTCTGTCCGTGTGTCTAGCTCTATGTCCATCTGTCCGTACGTCCGTCCTTCTGTCTGTTACGCTTTGGAGTACCCGTCTCTTAGCCGCAACTCCTCTCATACCACTGAATGAAACTTGATGAAACATTCACAGAATCTTTATTACACATTGCCATTGTGCATCTCCTATTTTACTTTTTGATCGGACACAAATTTTGGGTTACCTACAACAAAGCATGGACACTCCCATTATATTCATATGGAAGGTGGTGGTATCATTTATTGAGCTCATTGCTCACAGTACCTCTAGTTTCAAATATCATCTTCTCAAGAGGAAAGGTAAACAACATCTTTTGTGGTGAATTCACATATCACCTGAGTCTTGCAGATTTAGTTATATTCCCGATCGATCGATCGATCGATCGTATGCGTCTTTCAAATGACAAAATATTAAGAATTCAATAGAGCAAACCTGTGAGTTAGATACCCTTCATATCCTAGCGGGTGATATTGAAAAAGTGAGAAAATGGAACAGTGATTGATCTTGAAAAAACATACAAACAATACACATCTAAAAGCAAGGAATTAAGCACGGACCCACGGAAAACCCAGAAGAAGGGTCAAGTGCTGCGAATGAGGTACGAGGGGTGATCAAAAAGTTCGCGAACTAATTAGATAACTTCCATAAAAGAAACAATATTTGGTTTCAATGTTGATTTTATTTTAAATTAATCCTCTCCAATTTTAATGCACATCAACCACCGTTCTGCTCATGCGCGTATCACGTGATATTGGCGGTCACGTGACCCCCTCTGTAGCGTTCTGTCACAAAAGTTGAAAGATTTTTCTGAGTTTTATATTTCTTTCCATGTGAGTTAATTTTTATGACAAGAACAGTTCATTTGTCAGAAATGGTCATATCTCGGCAACAGAATGGGTGGATAAGAATATCCTTTCCAAAAATAAGCAAGGCGACCATCAAAACCCAAAAGTTCTCTCTCGGGAGAGACCTTTATTCAAGGTGGATAGTGAATGGGTGCCTCCTTTTTATCATATCTATAATGTTTAAAATCTAAAGTTAACGATAGCTTAGGTATTTAATAAGTATATTATTTTTGAAATATTCAAGTATTATTCAAAGTGTAAATTGGAGGTCTTTGAGAGCAAATTGCTTAATTAAAAACACATATCTTTTCAAACTTGCTTTCACTGGGCAAGATGACATGTGTCATTTTTAATCATCTACCTTCCTTCACTAAAACGATTAATCCAATCATGAATTGAATTATAGGAACTCATTGACCTTAATAAAGTGTGTACAAATTATTATATGATACTGTAGAGCGATTTCTAAGATATACAATAAATTGTACAGTCGTTTGTTGAACAAATTCGATAAAGACAACCATTTTTCGTCACAAGTGACCTACATAGTGACGTCATTTTCACATTGTGACGTCACAAACAAGGAGAAAAACTTTGTTCAGTATATGCTCTTTATAGACCTTGTGTATGGTTATATGTGTACCGAACTTCATTCTAATCTGAATTGTGGTTTTGTAGATATAGAGATAGTTCGCGAACTTTTTGATCACCCCTCGTATCATTCGCTTTTGACCGCTATGAGCCTAAAGGCACCTAACGTTACTTATTTTTCTTTAAAAATATATATATTCCTTATTTTATAATTCATAAGACCTATGTATAAAACGGGAAGACGGAACATTGACCTTGAAAATGGCTAAAAACTGGAGGGATTAATCCTAAAAGAGAATTAGAACCTCTAAAATGCGCGTTTATATTATTATAGCAAACACATTTATAATGAATTAACGCTTACAGCGAAGTGATTTTCATTCCCCGTATCTTCATTATATATTTACCGTTCACGGTAGCTCTGTCGGTAGAGCGCTCGCTCCGTGATCGGGAGGTCGTGAGTTCGTATCTCGGCCGCGACTGACCCACTCGATAAAATGGGTAGCAACTATTCCTTCGCCATGCGCTCGGCACTTTGAAGTGAAAGTTGCAGGTCCTTCGGATGAGACCTTAAAAACCGAGGCCCCGTGTCAGCGGCAGGCGTTGGCACGATAAAGAACCCTCACTGCTCAATGACCCTGAGTGCCGAGTAAAGGTCAAAATTTGAAGCCCTTCACCGGCATACGGTGACGTCTCCGTATGAGTGAAAAATTCTCGAGAGGGACGTTAAACAATATACAATCAATCAATCATTATATATTGTACTTGATGCATATTACGAATAACGCTTATAATGATGTAAAATTGTTCGTCCCTGGCACTTCGCTATAGGTGTGTTTTACTGTACTTATTTCGCACAATCAAATGCTCTTTATGCTGCTCTGTTTTGTTTCTTTTTACAAGTATAAACTTTTAATTTATATAAATGAAACAAAATCAAATCATCTGTAAAATTTTAGAATTGTGCTAATGGTTACAACTGCATATTTCGTTCAATTTTTTCGTTATGTATTTCTTTCGAAAGTCGTGACATTTAGGTCACTATAAATATCTTCGAAGTTTTATTCTTTCGTTCATTTTTTAAAATGTTACCTTCTTATATATGTAATTCTTTTAGGATAAGTTCTCGGAGAATGGATGTAGAAGGAACCTATCCAGAATTTTTGAAAGAAAGAGGAGTTTGTAAAATCATAATTCCTTTCTTAATTAGTTTCAGGAGTATTTTTTGAGCTTATAATTAAACTTAAGTTTTCACTCACCAATTTATAGCAGCATATCCATGTCATATTCTTTAAGCCATGTTTTATTCTTCGATTGCATTTTTGCACACTTAAGAGCCATTCAATATAATTAAATTTATTCTTGTAATAAGCACTAAATTTGGTTATAAAAAAAAATAAAAAATATAATTAAGATGCCTGAAAAGTTGAAGAAATGATATTAAGCGCAATCGTTCTTTCCCTTGAAAAGCATGTTACATATAAAATAAATTAAAATACCATACAGACATATCCACCCATCCCCTCCCAACCCACTAAATTTTACAATATTAATCAAAGGAAATGGGATTTTGCTGGAACATCTAAAAAAAAATTGAATTAACTTTCCTTATACCTTAAATGTATTTAAAGTTATTAATTCTTACGTCAATACAAAAAGAATGAAGATGAAATATTAAAGTTCTTTCATATGAAATATGCTTTGACAGATATATTGCAAGGATGGAAAAATTCTACCACAATTCTACCAGCGTGACGATAGTCTTGACCTGTATGATGCCATCCGAAATTATGTCACCAAATATGTCCATCTCTACTATGGTGCGTATTTTATTTGTCTCTGTATTGAATAATTAATTTTTTGAATATTTACATTTCCAATGTTTTTGTCCGAGATAAAATTACAAATAGTTAATATAATTTATTTCTCCATCAATGCACTGGCTCATCGATAGGGGCGGTTTAAAAAAATCACGTGCCGGGCGGGACGTTAGAAACACAGGTATCATAATTTTTATACATAACGGTAGTAAACATTTAAGTCATATACTTAAGTTCATTGTAATGTATGTTTTCTTTTATACAACAGACACACTTGATAAAATTAACAACGATCCTGAAATTCAAAACTTTGGTGAATTATCAATGCCTAAGTCCGAAAGAGGTTGCGGAATTTTGGTAACAATGCAGAGAGAGAGAGATTTTACATATTTTTTCAATTGAATTTGACAAGTTTTAAAACTTTCTTTTATTGCACAATCATTCGTGAGCGCATATTTTATGATAACAGTCTTCCAGATTTAAATATCTTATATTATTATATGTATCATTGTATTTGATTACATTGTACACCTTTGATTTAATGGTGTCATGGTGTCTGTGAAAACTGAACTCCCCTTATTATCATTTGAAGAAATAGATAATCCAGTGGATGTAGTGGGCTGTGTAAGGTTTTTTCGGAGGAAGTTCTTAGAACAACCTAACTTATGCATATATTCCTCTCCTCTGAACTATACTAAATGTAGGTAGAACAAACAAGGTTTTTGGGAGGAAGAGTACTTCAACCTAATTAATTATGAAATTCATGGACGCATATCAGAGGTTCTATTGCAAGTTGGAGCACTTCATTGCTCAAAAGGTGGACATGCATCTTTTTTTAAACATTCTTTTCTGCTCTATGGTCTCTAGCAGACAAACTAAGTAAATGATTATCATAAGCAATGGTTCCTGTACCAACACTGTGAAATTCAGACTCCCGGAGTGAAAGGTTCTGGTGGAAAGGCGGGTTCTATTTATCATGCAGTGAAAAATTGTTAATTTAAATTTAAATCTTCTCCGAGTCTGGTTATTTAGCAGATAGAGTGTATGCATGGTTGGATGAGCAAGGGTGACCCTACTAGAATTTTGAAGTACATGGTCCCAGCCTCAGACGCTCTGGATGGTGGGGTTCTTCTGTCCATGTAGTAAAAATGCATTGTAATCTTTTGCTTTTTTCCCCCTGTTCCTAAAGGCCCTGTCACACCAAGCTGCGTTCACACGGAGTCATTACGGCGTTGTTAAATTTTTAAAATCGCCGTGGAATCGCAGGAAAATTGCACAAATTTCTGTAAAATTTTCACAATATGAAGATGTCACGGCGTCCCTACGGCGACGGACGCGATTCTACGGCGATCTCACGGCGTTCTACTGCGTTCCCACGGAGATCTCTCGGCGATTGACTGCGCTTCCGCGGAGTTTTCACGGCGCGTTAAGAGTTTTCACCTCGTGTTCACGGCGTTCTCACTGCGCTGACTGCGTTCATAATACGTTAACAATGCGTTTTAAACTCATTTATATATATATTCAGAAGGAATGTAAAAAAATTTTGTTTAAAGATTCAAGTTACAAGATGAGAAGACTTCTAATCATGCCATGAAATATTTATAATAATTAAAAATTTTCTATTTAACTAATTTAGTACTTGATTATTAATATTTTTATGATTAAACTCCTTTTTTACAATTTTATCGGTTCGGATGTGTTGTTAGATTTTCTTTGATTTTATTAAGAATGTAAAAAAAAATAAACACATTGAAAAGTTTTCTAAAATATTTAAGTGAAGCAACAGAACAAGTTCTGGTGTAATTTTTTTCTTCCATTTTTTTTTGTCCCTTAAATGCTCCTAGTGCAACAAATAAGAATTATTGCTGATCAAATATGATCCCATTGCTCTTTTGTGTGCTGGCTGACAACGTTCTAACAACGCAACGAAAGCGCATTGTGATCGCCAACGGACGCTGTGGAAACGCCATGGGAGCGCAATGATCACAGTGACAACTCCGTGCTGACGCCGTGTAATCGCAGTCGAAAAAATCACAAGACGATAAATCTAATTAGAAGCGCCGTAAAAACGCGATAGAAACGCAGTGACATCTCCAAGGACTCCGCGACATCTCCGTGAGGTCTCCGTGGAAGAGCAGTCTACTATCACTGCGTTCGTGCCGCGATCGTGTGCGTCTTCACGGCGTTCGTGCGGAGCTCCCACCACGTTGTTGGAGATCTCATCGCGCTGCTACGGCGATCATACTACGTTTCTACTGCGTTCGTATCAGACCGCGATCACACGGCGCGTACTTTGTGCATGCCCAAAGTGATCGCCGTCCCCTGGCGTTCTAGAAGACCCTACGCGATCCTACGCCGTTCAGTAGAGATCTCACTGCGTTGTCACGGCGCTGTAGGAGACTCTGCACTGCGATCACCTCGGCGTTTTGCATTTTTTAAGGACGCCGTGCAGTCGCCTTGAGGACGCAGTCCTGGTGTGACAGGGGTTTAAGACAATGTATTTAGCATGCAAAACAAGTACAATTTCAATACTGAACTAGAGTTTTTTTAATTAGTTCTGAGAAATTTATAAACATTAGTAAAAGGTTCTTGCTATAGTGCAAGACTCCAATGTTTAATGGATTTTTTACTGTTAATTGTTGGAAGTTATTTCCTTGTGATTATTCACCTATGGAAAAAAAAGAAATACGATAAATAACTGATTCAGGTGCCCTCACGACCCTTAGGTATCCAGTATTCAATTCCATTCAATAAGATAATCCATAGTATTTACTTTATAAAAGGGCGTTCCATTCAAAGATGGGAAGTTCAGTTCGACAGAGGACTTGATACTTGTGTTCACTTCCGTTATTTACACCAGTAGTGTAGTACATGATGCTGTCAACTTTCTTCAGTACGATACATACGGATTTCCTCCGAACTATCCAACCAAAATCAAAGGATCACCCCCTAAGGATAAGGTACTTATTTTCAAACAAGTATATTTATAATATGCATTAAATAAAATAAAGCACTGTAAATTTTCAAGTTATGTACTAGTATCTTGTGTTACAGTAGTTATTAATGATTAACAAAGAAGTTCTTTGTAAGTAAATGTTAATTTTTAAATGTTAAGTTATTTGTCGGAATCTCAGACTCAGTCATCATTT